TTTGGTGCACTTTAAGTATTTATTTATTCATTTATTTATTTATTTATTAGTCAATTTATATATTTCCGCTTTTATTTTTAATTATGTCAGTTTCGGTCCTCCATACAGCAGAAGACTGATAATCACCCATTCATTCAAATCAGGTGTGTTTGAGCAGAGAAAAAAATAAAACATGCAGGGCTGCGGCCCTCGAGGACCAGGATTGCCCACCCCTGCTTTAAAGCAAAACAAGAATAGAATATAACATAATAATAAATCTTGTTTTCTGCGTTCAGGTGTGGATACTCAGTTTGGGTGCTGTGTTTGGTTTCTCCTCTTACGGTCCAATAGCATTGTTTGGCGTGATAGCTAATGAAAGCGCACCTTCCAACTACTGTGGGACGTCGCACGCCATCGTTGCCCTGATGGCAAATAGTAAGTTCAATAAAACGTCACCAAATGACATTTTATGATGGGACACAGGTTTCTTTATCTTCCCTTTTTTTTCCCCTTGCCTCTTAAGTTGGTGGCTTCCTGTCTGGATTACCGTTCAGCACAATCGCCAAGCACTACGGCTGGGAAACAGCCTTCTGGGTGGCAGAAATCACCTGTCTGGTCACCACTGTTGGATACTTCCTGTTACGCAACATCAGGACCAAGATGGGACGCGTGCCTAAGAAGGCAGACTAACATGATCACACCCTCCATGACCAGTGATGGAGTTTTGTTTTTTTAAACATGATTTCATTGATCTGCAGGACTTAACACAAAGCTCATAAGTTGAACTTTTTTTTTGTCTGTTAACACTACATCAGCAGGGGAATGTGCAGTAAATATGTCTCTCAGATAAGGAAATGTGCCAAATRCACAAGTTTCCTCTTTAAGGCAATAAAAGCAGACTAGTGTCTGGTTTGGAAATAAGCTTATTTTTTCAATTGCTGTAATGAGCAATTTCAAATTAAAGTGCAAAACTTTATAGTCTCTTTAAATTACATGTGAAGTCTTTAATATGGCACAATCAAAGGCTTCCATAAAAAGACTTTTTGTGATTTTTATAGTTTATGTTCAGTGTCTGGTTGTACACACGATGCTAAAAAAACAACTGCAACAAAACATTTACATGTTCAGAATTTATTCTGTTAGGTATTTACAAAATGTGATGTATTTACAAGGCTTTTATTAACAAGAAATAGAAATAAAACTAAACACAAAGCACTTAATTCTTTCCGGTTTGAGACTGAGGTCTGCACACACACTCCTCTCTGGTTTAGGACCCAGCTCCAAAGTTACCAGCTTTCTCTGCCACCTCCAGCGCGCTCTTCAGGTTCTGGTCGAACAGTTCGCACCTGAAGGAGAACGTGGAGCTTAAAGCTGGAAACCGTATCAAAACGCAGAGGCTGTGCTGAGAATCTGAAAAACCCCGAGCGGGAAGAGGCGACACGATTACCTGATGGGCATTTCCAGAGAGTAGAACGGGTTCTTGAGAGCGAAGTCCGAGTAGATCTCGTAAATCTTCTTCAACAGCGCGTCGATGCCGGACTGCCGCGGGTCGGCCAGGACGATGAACTTGATCCCTGATGGAGCGGCAGAGACGAGTCAAACAGGTTTAATCCAAAACAAGAGCGTTAGTACAGGAAAAACACCAAAACCAGTGGTTATTATGCTCCTACATCACAGGTTTGAAACAGCTCCAGATGGAACCAGTAATCATTTTGTTAAAGCTGCAGAAACATTCTAGTGTTGGGTCTAGATGTTCACATACAAATTTAATTAATTTGGGGCAGGTTTCTGACTGCTTTTATATCACTTAACACTGATGTATAAAATATTTACAGTTAAAACTATGCATCAAGATCCAGTGTACCTTTACTTAATAAACAAATTAGCCAATAATTATCTTAAAGTATACAAACAAAACAAGAACTTTACAAAGACTTGTTGCTGGACACGTCATTCGCTAAMAATAGATGTTTTACTGACCCGTGAGGGTTTGAAAGCAGTGAAGTTTAAAGACATCCGTTTCCAGCATCTCGATTCCTGAACTGCCAACTTCAGGAGACAGCTGTGAGCCGATGGCAAATAACCTGAACATAGAACCAGCAGAGACGAAGCGTAATGAAGTTCACCTTCAAACCGAAGGGACATGTGTAAAAATTCTGGTGTAAGCTATGAGGAGATCCCCGTACTGTCACAAAAAATTTAATTATACTTTTTTTTTTATTACGGCTTCTTAAAATTAGGTGTACTAAACCTCAAAATAAGCAACAATTTAATAGTGTCAATATTTATAAAAAATACACTGCTGATCTATCTCCTCCTTGGTATTGTGTTCAAATAAACTTGAAGGCCTCAGACCTGGAAAAATGTCTGCTTTTAGAGAAGTTCTCACACTTCCTGGTCAGCGAGTGAATCATTGTGAATGATCAGTAGCTCAACTGCTACTTGCATCTTTAAACACTTATGGAAATAGAAATGTTTTTTAAATAAACCATCGTTTTAGACATGGAAATTATGGTTCTTTTCTGGGATCTTGGATCACTCGACTCGGTTCCTTTTTGATGAGCCGAGCCAAATGACCCAGATCTCAGAAAAGAACTGGGATTGCCATCACTACGTTCAACGTCTGCATTTTGTGTTTGCTGAATACATACATGGTGCAATGTATTGATCAGTGACCTGATATGTATTTTGTATTACTTTTCCCTTCACCATATTTACTTTGTGAACACTTGAAATTCAGTGAAGCCTAATAATAAGCCCACCACTCCGGCCTTCAGTCCCAGAGCGACTTACGAGTGGAACATGGATGCAAGCATCAGCTTCTCGTTGGAGCTCAGTCGAGCCCGTCCAAACCGGACTGAAACTGGATAATTGGCTGGATCTTTGAAATATTCAAGGATGTCCTTTCCCTCTGCTGTGCTCTTTCCCATCACATCAACTCCATTGATGGACAGTACCGCGTGACCCACTAGAAGACAAGAACCGTAGTTACAACAGAGGCAAGTCACAGGGTTTAATGGGCCAAGTTTGCACAATTTTCACATGTAGGCATCCTTAGCAAAAAGTAGTATACTTAAAGCTCATTTTAATAAGTATGCTTGAGTATAAGTTTAAGTACATCAAGTGTACTAGGCACCATGTACTTGTAGTGTACTAGAAAGTATATTGGTTTAAAACTTGTTCATACTAAAATGGGAAGTTTTTTGTTTATGAAAAGTATACTTTAAGTATACTGTTGTTTCTTTTTACGTTCATAAACTTGCCAAAAAGAAGTATACTTTAAGTACATGTCACTAAGTATGCTGAAGTATATAAAAGCGTATTTCCCTAAGTGTACTTTTATTTACCATGTAAACTGATAAAAGTGTACTAGCAGTTTACTAACAAATATACTTCTAGGACTAAATTGGCCCACAAAAATTTATTAAAGTATATTCAGAAGTATACTGAAAGTAATCTAAGTATAGTTTTAGTTTAATCTTGAAATTTACTACAAATAAACCAGTCTGTGTGAAAAGTGTACTACTAAAGTTTATCTTGACCAAAAGTTTAAACAATAATATAAACTTTACACTTAAACTTTTAGTATACTTTTAGTACAAGCCAAGTATAGTGTAAGATAAACTTGGTTAAGTATATCTCAGGTAGGTACATAAAAACTAACCTGGAAGTATACTTTTTATTTTAAGCTTAAAATTAGCATATACTACCTCTTGCTAAGTGCGAATAAGGTGCAAAATAAAAAGGATTTTTTTTTATTCATAGTAAAGAATCAATAAACAGCTGACATAGAGAGCCTGTTTAATTACTGCACCTATCCAAGCTAGTTAAGGTTTAATCATGGCTTTAAAATGTTACCTTTTATTCCGTCCCTTTGTCCAAACGACACGACGACTTTCTCATCATGATGTTTTAGCACCAGGTCCAAAGGGTAGCTGAAGGTCTTTTCGACCTCAGTTCTCGGGACGTAGTTGTCATACTGGTAAATTAAACCTCCAGCTTTATTCACAACATACACACTGAAAATCGCCATTTTTTTATTTTTTTTTTTATTTGCAACTTCCTGCGCTTCTTCTCCCAGCTGACTGCACTGTCACGTGACCAAAAAATAGTCAGCGTTTAATTTTTTTTTTTTTTTTTTTTTTACGTGTTGTTTTTAATAAATATTCGTCCTGGTTATATACAACCAATCTTTTTACGTCTTCTGCGGTAGCTACCAGTTATTTAAAAAGAAAATTAAAACCGAGTGAAAGAAATCCACAAAAACTTCATTTCCCACAATTCCTACAGCACTTCCGTRTCTACGGGTTGTCTAAGCGGCTCGTGCACGGGTGGACTTCCTTTTGCTCCGACATCTTGACAAGGCAACATGGTGAGGGTGGTTTTTACTTGCTTTATGTGGGGAAAAAATACACTTCAACGTTTGTCTGCTGCTTTTCGTTTGTGCCACGATATTTCGGAGCTTCCTCCGGTAGCTGTGTAGGTTTTCTACTCTGATAGGAAAGTTTTATGTGCCGCATTTTTAGCACCTCCTCAGTTAGCGCTTAGCTTGCTAAAATGGCTAGTCGGCTAAATCTGCCATGCTTTCAGAAACCCTGCGTAACTACCGAGTTATACATATATTGACAGCAGTATTTCCCTGTGCATAATGGATATTATTCTGAAATACATTAAATAATTGGAGTGACATCAGCTGTGGTTAATAATCACTTAAATCGGCAGTGAGAAATTATTCTGAAAACACGGCCGTCCTGTTTCCGTGTAAACACATTGTGATCCATCGCATCTGCTACAAAGAAAAACGTTTCAAACACATGTCAAATATTGTAAGCTTGACTTTATAACACCATATGTATAGAACCAGTTTCACATAGACATTTGATTTTATATGTGAACCTGTGTATATATCTTACACGAGTTACACGTCGCTCCAGGTTGAGTGTAAAGTCTGTAAAGGGTTTTAACTTGTGGTCTTCCGTTTCCAGCCTCCTAAGCAGGATAAGAAGAAGGATGCTGGGAAGTCCAAAAAGGACAAGGACCCAGTTAACAAGTCTGGAGGCAAAGCCAAGAAGAAGGTAAGCACTAAGCAGGCGTCAGCACTCGCTCACTCAGACTCGGAGCGATCGCTCGTCGTCTCAAACGTGTTTTCGTTCTGAGCAGAAGTGGTCCAAGGGAAAAGTGAGGGACAAGCTCAACAACCTGGTCCTCTTCGACAAGGCAACCTACGACAAGTTGTACAAGGAAGTGCCCAACTACAAGCTCATTACCCCCGCTGTCGTGTCAGAAAGGCTGAAGATCCGTGGCTCTCTAGCCAGGAACGCCCTCCAAGAACTGCTTGCCAAAGGTGAACCTCATCTCTTCAGTTTGAAGTCATAAAAACTGTTGGAACAACCAAGTCAACGTCCCAATAAATTGTTTCATGAGAGCCGTACTCTTAAGTTTTGATCAAGCAAAGATTATTTTATTTTTAGAAAACGTGAAAGTGATCTTTTATGTTAACAATAGAATTTGTTATTATTATTTTTTTGTTAGAACAATGCATATTAATCAACATGTCAGCAGTAAGCATCAATGTAAATATACTGGAGTTAGCACAACAGTATTATGTATGCCTGGGACTTAAATGTGAAATTAGACACTACAAATGGGGTTTCATTGTTAAGACTATGCATCATCATCTGTACTCAAATACACAGTTATAATACAGTAAAGTAGTTATACAATATACTTTTGTACAGATACTAAAAACATGCTTGATTTTTGGTTTAAATAGGAAGAAAGCAGATTCACAGAACACTAATTGAGTTTGTTGTGGTTTTATTGGGATTTGTCTTTTGTGACACTAATATGCTAATATTTAGTGTGGCCTGGTTTTAGCCACTACTTAACGTTCTAAATACAAAGTACGCAAATATAACAATGGCACATGCAGTTTCAGATAATTTGTTGTGTGCTATCGTGTTGAATATGCAATTATCTTTATTTTATCTACAGTCAACGGTAAGTAAAAAAAAAAAGTATGCTTTAATGTGAAACCTTCACCCTTTGCACATTGTGATTCTGCAATATGGCCACAAGGATGAGCACATGACATCAACCAGTTCAGTCTTAATGTTTGCTTTACATCTTTGAAGCTAAACCAGATTAGTGACCACGATGTTAAGAAATTAATTGCTGCCCCCTTCTTTACAAGCACTAGCCTTGTTCACAAATCTGAGTTATATTCCACCTCTCCAGTTCTGTGATGTTTGCTTCATTTTACACAAATATTGTTCATATACACACGAAGACCTTAGAACAAGACTCTTAACTATAATTGGGCTTCATGCTGTTTTTAAAATACAAAGATTACCTCAGCTGTAAAGCCAAACAAGTAAAAACAGCCTGTGTAGACTTAAACATCCGTTAAACAGAAATAAATATGACATCATGGTGTCGTAATTGAGAAAATACTGAAAAAAAWGATTTTGTCTTCCAGGCATGATCAAACTGGTGTCCAAACACAGAGCTCAGCTGATTTACACCCGTAACACCAAGGGTGGAGATGAAGAGGCAGCAGCAGAGAAAGCATGATCAGGTACAACAGACTCCACGTCACCTCACATTTGGTCATGTAGTGGTTTAAAACCTGCTCTTTTAACACTAACCTTCATGTTTTTTTTCCAGGTCTCCTGTTTCTGTCATCTGTTTGTAACAATGATGTAATAAAATTGTAAAGACAACATGAGCTTTGTTCTTATTTTGCTGTTTTTATTTTTAATACCAAACATCTGATCAGGTTACTGTGGCAGTAATGTCAGGTTAAAGGTCAATCAACAGAAAAACCTAACTCAGATTGGAGAGTGAAATATGAGACAGGTCAGTAGGCGCAGCAATTTTAACACTTGGAGCATTTTAAGGTTTTTATTTGCTTTTAACATTTGTTTTTGTTAACTTGTTTCTTCTCACTGCGTAGCTGCAAATGAAATACACCTCGGCACTGAAGCAAATCGCTCCAGTCTGCAGACGGTTGATCAGCACTTCACTGATAAATGCTCCCTAAAGTGACGATCAGGTTCATTTAAATGGCAAATCACTCATTTCTGTGATGCACATGACCATTTAAAATAAATAACGAAACTGATAGAGGAGCTGCTCAGATCTGACAAGAACAGAATCGGTGCCTTTCTTTTTTTTTTTAATGTGTTAGTGAATTGCATCAATAAACTGTAGAAGTCAGGATTATTTTTGACAAATATGCCTTATCTTGTAATTGTTTTTCCTTTTTAGTGAAGTCGGTCTGTTTTTGTAGATATTCTTAAGCCAGGATGAGACGCTGCTGCGATCAGGGGCTTCATTTAAATCCCTTTAATGCATTCAAATGCTCTGAGCACACTAATATTTGTTTTCTAATGTAGCATTACCCTGCCTGAATTCAAAATTCAGACTTCTCTCATTCTAAGATGGATCGCTCCCAACTCTTTTCTGTCTTGTGTTGGTTAAAAGCCTGCAGGCGTTTGAAGTTTTATGGCGTATTGATAAGAATGGTGTGAAATGAAAAAGCCTATCTTCACTGTCAAACGTTGGCTCAGGGCTCGAGATGCACCAGAGTTCAGTGATGGATGCAGTTAGCCGTCTGTTTGTCACCACACAGCACCACCCCGAGCACAGGAACAAAACAAACCACTGGGTTTATACCTCCGACAGACGCTCCATCCATCAGATCCTCCAGCGTTCAGCCTGTAAAGAAGACAAACACTAAGCTGTATTTGTCTTCTCACCAATGTACCCCGCTGGTGGACGTCAAACACTGAATTTAAAGTTTACTTTGAAACGTTTGCAGCAAGTTGAGCTCGGACTGAATGTGGAGTTTGGTTTATTTAGCAGAGAAGCAGTTCAGGTGTTCAGTGTACTGTGAATGATTTGTCATATCTGTGTTGGTTCAGAAATCAGTTTCTATTCCTGTCTTCATATGGAATCACAACTTTACTGGGGTTTTCTCTTTGCTTGTTGAAGGTTAAAAGTCATGTAAAGATGCCATAAATTCACTGACCTGTACTGCCCTGCAGTCAGCTGGGGCTGATCCTGTAGAGCAGGCCGTCCTCTTTAACTTCAGTTCAACCAGTAGAACCAGAGGCGCCTCTAGAACGTTTTCATTAGGGTGCCCAGTCAAATGGAAATGCACAATACACTCAAAAACATTTACGTTGGATTTAATAAAAAGAAATTATGTCAACAGTTTCTATTTARTTGAGTAAATACAACATTTACTTCACATTCACCTATAAATAGAAAWTTTTTTTGTTACGTTTACTCAATTCAGTTGTGTTAGTTTAGTAAACCACTGTACAGCATCAGGTGAAAACTAGTGCCACCATCTTGGTAGGTGCTACACTGCATCCTTACTGTCAACATGGCAGCAGACCATTTGAGGAAAAAAGAAAATGAACTCAGTCAAGAAACCAAATATTTGTGGGATTTTTAGTTATAATTAACCTGACCCTTGCTTTCCTATGTAGTTCCGCTCAATTCTGGTTTCCCGAAACGAAGAACAAAGGGCTGGTTTTAACCAGGCYAAGTTATAATTATCAGAACATGAACTTAAAAAAATGTAGCATTGCCTTTGTTTTTGTACACGTTCACTGTAGTTCATTGCTCTGGAGATTAGACTGCTACAGTAGTGTAAAGCTGGGCAGTTACAGTGCACACTGCCTTTCCCGTCATGCCTAACCTTTCATGGTTTCCTCAAAACTCACTACTGCAGCTTTAATAATGTATACATAACACATACATTATTTGATGATAATCAAGGCCGGATTAACCATATGGGCAATTGTGCAATTGCCCAGGGGCCCAAGGTCTCCAAAGGATGTATTACTGTACATGTTGACAACAGAGCAGAAAAAAAGGACTGACGATGTAGAAATCATTAAAACTATTAATAATAATA